TATCCTGAGTTCAATCCCCAGTGCCAAAAAATTCTAAAAAAATTTAAAAAAAATGAATTCAGGACCTAAATATTTTTAAAAGTGAAAATTTATACTTATAAAATTTTTGCAAAAGTCTAACTCTTTATACAATAGTAAAGGCCAAAGCTTGGAGATGAGATACCCAGGCCTAATTAACAGGCAAAATTTAATTTAGCAACAACTTCTTGGTGGAGAGATGCTGAGAGCCACTCCCTCCAAACCCATCTTGTTGTTCAAATGTGGCTCAATGAGTTTCAACATTGATTCCTAGTCATCTATTAATTCCCTCCAATGGGGTCTGTACCAACCAGAAAAAGTTCATCCTGGCACTGAGATAGAATCAAACCCTAACCATTATGTGAAGCATCCAGAGAAAAAAAAATCTTCATCCCAAGTAGGAAACATAAATGGTGCTCAAATCAACAGGCAGTAACTGCGTCAAATCCTGATGAAGTGGAAGCAGGTGCTGCAAAGGGAAGGTCCCTGGAAAGCCCTGCATGATTTTAGAAACTATCACAAATCAGTCAGCCCCAACCTCAGCTGTGCATAAAATCCACCTTAACCCTCACCCCCCCACACACATTTTCTAAGAGGCCACCTGGGCAGTCGCCACCTATTGTCCTTGAACTGAGGCCACCCTGGGTACTGAATCTGTGGAGCCAGTGATAATTGATTCAAAGATGCCTTTTACACTGTCTCCCTTTGCCTCCTAGATGGGGCTCTGACTCATCTTTCTTTAAGTGTCCTGCATTCCTGCCCTATTATGTTTGACTACACTTGTCCTTTGGAGAGCCACTTTCTGTTGTGACTTTGGTTGACTGTAAGTTTGACCTGCCTTGTGCACCAAGTCAGGGGTAATAAGAGATGTCAAGGCTGTGGCAGAAAGTCACCCTTTCAGTTGATGACACACAGACAAATTCCCGAGAAACTTAAAATTAAATCAGAGAGTATATTTAAAATATTACAGAGTCTTAAAACCAGAGACAGTGTTGGATGTAGCCTTAATCCTATATAGCTGCACACACACATGAAATTAAATGTGTTTCATTTGTGGCAAGTTATTACGTAAAACAGAAACCAAATATAACCTTAGCCAATTGTAATTATTTAACTAAAATATGATTATGTGATGTGAGCAGGGACATTTTCCAACAAGATATCCCCAAAAGACCATCACGGTTTAGATGCTGTGTCTCCCAACAGCTCACATGTGACAATGTTTTGGAAAGAGAAATGATTGGTTTATAGCCTTAACCTAGCCAGTGAATTAATCCCTGGTGGGATTATCTGGGGAATAATTGGGGCAGGTGGGCTGTGGCTGGAGGAAGCTGATCTTTGGGGTGTGAATATGGGTGTAAAGTTTGTATCTGCAAGTGTCCATCTCTCTCTTGCTATTTGCTTTCTGGTAATGTGAGCCTCTTCCCTCTGCCACATGCTTCTGCCATGATGTTCAGTCTCAACTTGAAAGTGCTGTCTCTGGATTGAGGCCGCTGAAACCTAGACACCAAAATAAACATTTCCTCCTCTGTAGTTGTCGTTGGGTCTTTTAGTCACAGCACCATAAAGCCAACTAAAAAAAAAAAAAAAAAAAAAAACAGAAATCCAATTGTCTAACCGACACCCATCAAGCACTTCTACGTGTTACCTGAAAGTACTCACCTCACATGGCTGATCCACACATTCAATCTCTTTCTGTCTCTCCTTCCTCAATTTTAGAATTTCATTTTACTCAGTCTTGAAATTTTCCTTTGCTTCTGTTCTACTCCCAGGCTAAAGGCCTTGGAAAGTGCCTGTGGCCAAGGTTTTCTTGGAGATGGGCCCTGGAAAAGTCCCTGATTCTGAAGGAAGGCTCTATAATTGGTGGCCTCCCTGAAGTCAAGGACACCTGCTGTCCAACCCTGTGTCTTTCTCTCCAACATCCTAAGTTTCCCGCCCCTTCCACCCTCAGTGGCTTTCAGACTTTCCCAAGTTGATGGGGCATGGTGGCCTGTGACTGTAATCATAGAAACTCAGGAGACTTGAGAAATGGGGATGGCAAGGTTGAGGCCAGCCTCAGCAACTTAGGGAGGAGCTGAGCTATTTAGTGAGACTCTGCCTCCAAATAGAAGCAATAAATAAAAAGGAATGGGGATGTGGCTCATTGGAAGAGATTCAAAGTGTTTCATGCCCAGTACAAAGAGACACAAGAAATATTTCTCTAAGTCTAGAAGACTAATTCTACCTTCCTGTGTCCTCTACTTCCCTTAGTGTGCTCATATTTGCTGCAAGTTAACTTGACACTTGTGTGACTATTGGAAACATGGTTTCCATTCTGTAATCTTTGTGGATGACACTATTGTCTTCAAAAAGCTGTTTTCTCTCTGGAATTTTCAAAATATTTTTGAAAATTATTTTTTTTCAAATAATTTTGTTATGGTTAAGATCCCTGTAGAATGGTATTTTTCAGTAATGTTTTTTCTTACATTAGGGATTAAATACATTTATGTCTCACAGTAGAAATAGGAAAGTCACATATGGACAAAATGGAGTCCATGGTGGGGAGTGTATTGACAAAGGCATCATTGACTCTCACATCTTCCAATTCTGCTGCTCTTTAGGACCATCAGATTTAATGAACTAATGAAAGGAAGAAAATCCCATCATGATTAAGTGGGTGAAGACTGGAGAGCGTAATCACATACTGCTTTCTGATTGGATTCTGATCAATCAGATGGAGGTGGGGGCGTGGCCAGAGAGGTCCATAAAAGCTTCTGCAAGCCAGAAGAGAAGTACAAGAGTCTTTCAGCCTAAGGAGACACATCCTGACCTGCTGAAGCTCAGAGCACCTGCACACGTGGCCACATCAGTAAGTCCCTCATTGGCCTCAGGTACAGTGCCTTTCCTCTTTACCTGTGTAGTTTCAGGAACAATTTTTTTCCTGTCTTTTCTCATAAACAAACTTGGGCCTTCCATTTTGCCTCTCAGTGTGGTTTTGCCTTTATGCTGAATGATTTCTATTTAAGTTTACGTCACTTTCAAATTCCTTTTTCTTCTTTTCTTTCTTTTTTTTTTTTCATACCCGATACATGAACACTGGAGCACTCTACCACTGACCAAATTCCCAGCCCTGTTTTGTATTTTATTTAGAGACAGGGTCTCACTAGTTTCTTAGCACCTGCTCTTGCTGAGGCTGGCCTTGATCCCTTGATCCTCCTGTGTCAGTCTCCACAGCCTCTGAGATTATAGGTGTAGGCTCACATGCTCAACTTTTATTTATTTATTTTTTTGTTTTTTAAGATTTATATGGACAATATAATTTATTTATTTATCTGTGTATTTATTTGGTGGTATGGTGATTGAACCCAGGGCCATGTACATGTGAGGCAAGCCCTCTAATAACAGAGGTATATCCCCAGGTCACCATTTATTAATTTTTATGTGCTGCTGAGGATCAAGCCCAGCCACTTTCTTTACCAAAAAGATTGGATTCCTATTTTATTCTAATTGATTGCAATTCTATTTTCTGATTATGGAAACATTTATATTGTGTGCCTATAAATTATACTTTTTGATGAGTGTGGTTGCACACACCAATAATCCCAGCAACTCAAGAGGTTGAGGAGGCAGGAGAACTGAAGTCCAAAGCCAGCCTCAGAGCTGGAAATGCTACACAAATCAGTAAGACCCTGTCTCCATCTCAAATACAAAATAGGGTTAGGGAAGTGGCTCAGTGGTTGAGTGTCCTAAATTCAGTCGCCAATATTGGCCCCTAAAAGAGTATACTGTATGGCCCATGTGGTTTTATACTTTTATAATTTGTTTAAACAAATTAAACCAAAAACTTCAAATGATCTCATGAAACAGTTCACAGACTCTATTCTGATCTGTTTTTTCTCTTCAACATCCCCCTAAAATAGCAGAATGTCATATGTGTAACAGATATCCATGAGACTCTGTTGTATTTTCCAAGTGTTTTATAATATGGAAACATGCTTTATAAATGCTCATTTTTTAAAAAATTAAAACAAATGTCATCCATATGAGGGCAAGTCGACTTCCAGCCATATAGTTGTTTAATCTAGGACCCTACTGTTTAGGTAACATGACACTCCAATTCCGCTTTTAAATGGACAAAATAATATACCAAAGCTTTCTCCCATAAGGGTGGGTCGTGCTTGTAGACTTCCAAGTACCCCTTTAAAGAGGCTTCCAATGGATGGGATAGTGACCTTTTCCCTGGACCATTTTCCAGGATTTTTCTTCTTTCAGACTCCCCAGGATAAACATCCAGTCCCCACCCACGCTGCTGGAGCTGGCAGGGCACAGCCTGCTAAGCAAAAAGTCCAGGCCTCTCCTGGATCTGGAGGACCTGCCCATAGAGCTCTTCCCACCACTCTTTGTGGAGGCTTTCAGCAGGGGACAAACTGAGGTCCTAAAAAGAATGATGCAGGCCTGGCCCTTCACCTGCCTGCCCCTGGGGGTACTGATGAGGAAGCCACAGCTTGAGATGATTCAAGTGGCCCTGGATGAGCTGGACCTGCTGTTTGCCCAGGAGGATCACCCCAGGTGAGGGGGGCCTAGGTGTCATGGAAGGGAACACCCTTGGTGCCAGGGAAGGGATGGATATAGGCAGGAAGAGTGGGTGCTTAATTGTGCATGACAGGCTTTCTGTGCTGCCAGCAAGGAGGGGTGGAGAGGCCTTGGCCATACTGAGCCCCATCTGGGTAAGGCTTCCAGATGTGGAGGTGCTTGTGGCAGTGGTTGTGACCCATAAAGGAGGCAAGTAACTTCCCCTGCCTCAGTCTGTACACGTGCGGGAACCAGGCTGGATTGGAGGGAAGTGGATGGAGAAAAGTGAGACAGAAGGAAGAAGTGGAGCAGGAGGCAGAAGCTGAGAGGTGAAGGAAGGGGCCTCAGGCCTGAGTCCCTTCTGTCATCCCCGCAGGAGGTGAAAACTGCAGGTGCTGGAATTGCGGGATGTTCCCCAGGACTTCTGGAGGATGTGGTCTGGAGCCGTCGCTGATGCCTGCTCACCAGAGGACATTAAGAAGAATCGTACTTTGAAACTTGGTCTAGCAATGGCAGCTAAGCCACCCTTCAAGGTAGTCATAGACTTGAGCCTCAGAAAAAGAGCCCTGGATGACTTCCTGACCCACTTGTTCCTGAGGGTCAGAAACAGAAGGGACAGGCTGCACCTGTGTTACAATAGGCTGAAGATTTTTGGAAAATCCACCAGCTATTCCAGGAAGGTCCTGAGATTGCTACAGCTGGACTCTTTCCAGAAGGTGGAAGTGCACTGTGCCTGGGTGCCCTCCACCTTGGCTGCTTGTGCTCCTTTCATAGGCAAGATGAGGAACCTGAAAAAGCTGCTTGTCTCCCAGGTTTATGTGCCTGCCTACACCTCCCAAGAGGAGCAGGAGCAGCTGCTTGCCCAGCTAACCTTGCAGTTCCTCAGGATGGACTGCCTGCAGAAGTTCTGTGCCAATGCTGTCTTCCTCCTCGAGGACCACCTGGAACAGGTGCTGAGGTGAGTAAGGAGGGGGTAAGAACCCTCTGCAGACCAGTTAGAGGAAATTTGCACCTACCAGCCACTGACACTCTCATGGTTAATAAGGTACTGGAAGGTAAATAACCCATCCTTTTTTTCCTATTGGATGCTGAAGCTAGTTCACATAACATGTGTTGGAGCAGATTCCTTAAGGAGGATCCATTGTCTGGGAAGTGCCACCATGCTGGAAATCTAGTTGGGAGAGACAGGAGCTAGGGATAAGATTGATGTTCCCTCCGTGGGAGGCCTGTCCAGTGAAGGTGGTGGAAAGCGGATAGAGAAGAGGGCTTGGAATGAGGGAAGCCCCCACACTGACACCTTTCAACAGGGAAGCTCTGTGCTCCCCAGCTGGGAGCAGAGGACCTGCCTCTATACTCACCTGGAGAAGGCTGTTCTGAACTTCAGGGAGTGATCCTGGGTGTAAGAGTCAGAATCAGGGGAGGAAATCTTGCTGAGGATATAGGGTGTGAGCCTCTCAGAGGGTTAACCCCAGTGGATTTTGTTACATCCTGCCCAAATTTTTACTGCATACATGACTCCCCATTACCTCCTGTGGCCAGACCTGTGACTTTCTGCTTGGCAGTGAGGAGGTGACACAGAGATGTGGTGAAAGGCTCACCCTGACATGGGGTGATGTGAAGGACCAGATTCTGCAAAAGGCAGCATCCTAAGTGTGGACCATTGTCAGATCACCAGGGTGACTTTGGGTTTGGGCCAATTTGTCTTCTGCCTCCATGACATTGGTCCCCAGCACTAACTGTATGGTTTTTCCTTTAGCACCTGAAGACCCCCCTGGAGACCCTCTCAATAACCAACTGCCCACTGTCAGATTCTGACTGGAATTACCTTTCCCGATATCCAAACGCCAGACAGCTCAGACACCTGGAACTGAGGGGCATCAAACTGACTGATTTCAGTCTGGAGCCCCTCCAAATTCTGCTGGACAGCACTGCAACCACACTGAACATCCTGGACTTGGCAGCTTGTGGGATTACTGATTCTCAGCTCCAAGCCCTCTTACCTGCCCTGAGCCGCTGCTCCCAGCTTGTGATCTTGAGCATCCATGGGAACCGCCTCTCTATGTGAACCCTGAGGGACCTGCTGCTTCACACTGCCAGGCTGAGCCAGTTGAGCATAGAGCTCTACCCTGCCCCTCTGGAGAGCTATGATGCCCGGGGCACCATCCACCAAGAGAGATGTTCCCAACTTTGTGCTGAGCTGACAGAAATAATGAGGGACTTTAGGCAGCCAAACATACTTGTGTTCTGTACTGTCCTCTGTCGTCGTTGTGGCTTCAAGTTAATGTATAACCAGGGTCTCATTCACTGCTTCTGTCCAATAGCTGCCTAGTTGGGTGTGTTTCCAAAGGGTACTTCTAGGCAATTGTAGATATAACCAGGATGTAAGGTAACCTTAGAGAGAACACAGAGCCCACCATTTCAGACATTTTCTAAAGAGTGGATGGGGAAAGAAAAGCACAGCAGGGGTCTTAATTGGAGGTAAGCCCCTGGAGGATAGGACCTTCAGGACATGTGTCTCTATAGAGACATACATAGGGACCTGGATTTCTAGATTGAAATTCAGGCTTGATGGGCACAGGAAGATGCTACTTTCTTTCATGGCTGGACCATAAATCATCAGAAATGAACAGAATCTCAAAGTTAGTCTTCTGACGTCCTCTGCACTGGATTTACCTGGCTTTCTAATGAAACCTTGGGATTCTCCAGGTGCTGATGGAGAAAGAAGGCATGGGGTTCTTGGTGAACAATGAGGTTCAGCCCCAGGAAGTAAAGGTATCAAACTGAAATCTGGTCATGATGTGTGGCTACTCTGTGGCTTAACACATGCAGGTTTACTCAGGTAGATTGGAACATTCTATGTTTGCACTAAACATGAGCCATTGCAAGAAAGCCTCTTCTAAGTGGACCTCAGTGCCACCCAGACATTCAATGCTGGTTCTTCCTCATGGGTCTCTATGTAGACCCAGAAAACTCAGGTCCTGGTCTCTGGGAGTGCTGGGCAAGGCGTTCTGTGATAAGACAGAACCCATCCTCCCACTCCCAGTGCTGCAGAAAGTGTCCATGCTGCACTTTATTAGAGCCTCTTGGCCTTACCAAACTATGCCTGTCATCCATCTAGGTAGTGTTTCCACAGTTAAACCTTTGGTGCCCCTTGAAGGACCCAAATTTCCTTTCAGCAAAATAGTAGAATCATATAGGTAGATAACACTTGTAAATATTTCAAAATGAAACTGAATCAATTACAAGCTCTGGTGGGTAGCACACAACTGAGAGATAGTTTCCTAACACTTCCCTCCACTGAGGACTTGGCTGATGAGGATGTGCAGCAACCTTAGCCTTAGTTTTCCATCCAAAGATGAGAACGAGTCCACCCAGTCAGTCTTCATTTGAGGTATTCTAAAGCTGCCTGTGGAAGTTTTTAATTATGGCTTGAATAATTCTCCACACATAGTAAACTGGAACCCACTTTGATGTGTAAGCAGACTGCTGCTCATTTTTTGAACTGGTAGCAGATTCTAGGCCAAAAACAGCTGGTCTCTCTGTCACCAACAGAGTGATCTTTTTTCCTGGCTCTATGGCACTTCTATTTTTTGGGCTATAAGTCTAACTTGCACATGTGGGGCAGGTGGAAGGTTCTGAACGGCATTCATTTTGTTGGATTCTACGATCAAATAAAGTCAAGGAATATCTGCATAATGAGAACTGTCATCATGTGTTCTTGTAAGAGTTATCATGACTAAAAAGGAACTTGAAGATATTCTGGTGCCTCCAGACCCCTTGAACTCTGGGAGGATTGTGAGGGCACTTTGTTTTCTCAGATGCCTGGGGATAAAGCACTCACCTCTCTTTAAGTTTCTCATCTTTTGACTCTAGGTTAATTTGTGCTTTGAGCCAGCACACAACTGTAGGATGTCATAACAAACAGGACCCAGTTTGAAAGAGTGGCAGGGTCAGGAAGTTGACTGGCTTTCACTCCTTGGCTACTGAAAGATGCAGAGTCCTTTGTGCACCTGTATCCAAAGACTCTACAGCCCCTTCTGGAACACTGTCCAACTTTACCTCCACAATCTAAACACCAAGAATCCATGCTATTCTAGAGAAATGAGTGAACTTCATCAAAGCTAACTCAGGGAGCTGGGGACGTTTCTCAGTGGTGGAGCACTTGCTAGCATGTGGAAGGGCCTGGGTTGCATCTATGGCATCACAGAGATAAGTAAACAAATAAATAAATCCAAAAATGATGTGACCACATTGGGAAGGTTTAATTGGAATAGAGCTGTCTTTCTGTTAGAAATATTCAAAAAGAAAGAACCACAACACACATGAAAACAATGGAATGCATTCTTTAATTGGTCTGGACAGGTGGGTCAAATTGATGTCCTGAAAGATTCTCTTCCAAAAACAACTGGAAAAGCTGGCTTGGTGGTGCTCAGCTGTAGTTCCAGCAGCTCAGGGGGTGAGGTAGGAGGATGCTGAGTTCAAAGCCAGCTTCAGCAATTTAGTGAGGTTGTAAGCAAATTTGTGAGAGCCTGCTTCAAAATCCTACCTGTAGATTGGGCTCACTGGTGTGGCACCTTTGGGTTCACTGCCTGTTCCCCAAAACAAAAACAAACAAGCATGAAAAGCTGGTTGCAGTGGCACATGCCTGGGATCCCAGCTACTTGAGAAGATTTATGATTTTTATACCTTCTCCCAATATTACTAACTTGTGCATGACCCATTGTCATTTTTTCTAGTCCCTTGAGATGCAATATTGGGCCATTTAATCAAGATCTATTTTCCTAATGAAGGTATTTTTTTGTTGAAGACTTCCCAGTTAGCATTGCTTTTGCTGTGTCAGCAGCTTTGACTATCTTGTGTGGCCCTGTTCATTGGTCTGCAGGCATTTTACACTTTCTTTTTTTATTTTTCTTATTTCTTACATACATGACAAAGTTTTGATTTCTTCAATGACCATTGGTTGCTGGGGAACACGCTGAAGAATTCCCATGCTTTGTAACTGTCCAGGTGTTCCCCCTGCTATAGATTCAATTCTTATTAAATTTATGAAGATTTATTTTGAGAATAAATGGAGAATGTGTCATGTGCTGTTTGCTCTGAAGAGGTTGGGTTAAATGGTCTGTAAATGTCTACTGTGTGCAGAGATGATCTGTCCAGTGCTGAAAAGGGGAGTCGAAGCCCCCACTGTTCTTAGTGTGTTGTAGTTGACTTCTTCATTTACATTCCAGTAATATTTCTTTTACACATGTGGGTGCTCAGGTGTCAGGCACATGTATGTGTAAAATTTCTGTCTCATGTTGCTCAATTGACTCCTTTATTATGGAGTGATCACCTTGTCTCTTTTTAATGTGTTTTAATCTGCAGTCTACTTTATCTGTCAGGAGACTAGCCATTCATTCTCTAGGTTGGTTTTCTTCCTGTGGAATATCTTTTCCATCCCTTCACTGTCACTCTGTGTGTTTCCTGAGGTGAAATGACTTTCTTGTAGACAGAAGGTTACTGAGTCCATTAAAAATAGAAAATTCATTCAATCACTTTACATCTTTAAATTGGGGAGTTTAATCCCTTTAAATTCAAGGTTTTTGATTGAAAGATACAGAATTATTTCTGACTGGTCTTATTTGTTTTTAGTTTCTTTTTCTGATTTCTCCTTATATCTTTTTTCTCTTTTTTCCTCCCTTACTCTCTAGTCTGTTTCTGTGGGTTGGTGTTTTCTTCTGGGATAAGTTTGTATTTCCTTCTTTGTCACTTGTGAACATGCTGTCATTTTTTTTTCTTTTGGCTTCCTCTGGGATTTAGAAAATTTTTACAGTTACCAAAGAGCATTCTATGCTGAACCGAACCTTCCTCTTCTCTGCTACCAGTACTCTGGATTCCGTCTTTTTCCTTGTAACTTGTGCTTTGGTTGCCTTAGTTTTCTTCTCCTGGTTTGATGCATTCCTTAACCTCTTACTTTGGCCATGCTTATCACTCACCATTTTGTTTTTAACTTTTCTATTAGTTATTTGAACATTTAAATGTCTCTGATATGTAAGCCAGGTGCACTGTTGTATGTATGTAAACCCACAGGAAACTGAGGCAGGAGGATTGAAAATTGAAAGCTATCCTCAGCAACGTAGCAAGGACTTAAAAAACTTAGTGAGACTTCTCTCAAAATAAAATATAAAAAGGGCTGACTTCCCATTAGACCCAACCCATTCAAGAGCCTGTACTCTCACCTGTGCCCTGCACTGGAAGATATGCTGTGTTTCCTTTCTGCAGAAAGCTAGCTGTGAGATACACCAAGAAACAACAAAGCACAGAAAAAATTTTGAAATTCAAGGGCAGGCTAGTTCTGAGATCTTAAGAGTGCTGCTTCCACACTGGAAGGAGAGAGTGAGTGTGTGTTTTTATTTTTCTATGGGAGATACACAAAGGCTTTTCCATAGAATATGATTCACCAATTAAAGCAATGGATAGGCTGTCCCAGGCAGACAGGTAACACCCAACCCCAGAGCTACAGAGAAGTCTCTACATCTCCATCATGTTTCCCTTCTCTGAACTCTCAAGAACTCTGGGAAGGGAGGCCAGCAGGACTCTTCAGGGGTAATAGAATAAGTTAGGGATGGTGCATACACACATATAGAGATAGGTATTATGTGTTAGTTTGTTTGTAGCTGAGGTGTAGTTTAGTTGGCCTCCGAATAAAAGCCCTTCCTGTATCAAGGAATTCCCCACCCAACCTGTGAGTCTCCAAGTAAGGCAGGTTCCATAATCACTTGATAGGAATGAAAAAGTCAAATGTATTTTTCTGCCTCCTGATGTGGTTTGGGGTTAATGCCTAAGGTATGACCTGTGTCCCCAATGTGCTATGTCACCTGGCAGCAGGTCCTAATCAGTATGTCTGTGGGGGCTCCAAGCTGTGGTCCAAGCTAGCTGTAAGGATGGCCTTAACCTAAAAATTGTCTAAGCCTAAGTAATTCCAGTTGAAAGTGAACCTGCAGGTCCACCAGGCACAGGCTCCTGAGTCCTCTAGCATGATTCAGGAATAGCCTGATGAAGACAAGTCTCTGTACACAACCCAGA